GGTAAGGGGATCTTAACCCTTGACTTGGTGTTGTCAGCACCACGCTCACCCAGTGAGCTAACCAGCCATCCCTATATGGGATCTGAACCCGTGGCCTTGGTGTTATCAGCACCACACTCTCCCGAGTGAGCCACGGGCCAGCCCAATATTCCTAGCATTTTTTTGATTATTGTTTGGTTGTCTTAGGTATCTTTTGTTCCTTACTTTCTGATTTACTGTTTGTTTTCTGTGTTTGTTGGTTCCTTGGGTTGTAGATAGCCTTTTTGTTTGTTTTCTCTTCATGAATGCCATTTTTATTTTACTAGTGGGTTTTGATTTTTCTTGGGTTTTTATGGCAGTGGTAGTTATTTTTCAGGAACCAAACCCAGTACTCCCTTGAAAATTTCTCATAAGGGTGGTTGTGTGGTGGTGAACTCCCACAGTTTTTGTTTGTCTGAGAAATATACTATTTGCCCTTCATTTCGGAAGGGTAGCCTTGCAGGATAGAGTATTCTTGGCTGACGATCTCTGTCTTTTAGTATTTTGAATATATCATCCCATTCCTTTCTGGCTTTTATGGTTTGTGATGAAAAGTCTGATGTTAGCCTGATTGGGGCTCCCTTATAGGTGATTTGATGCTTCTCCCTTGCAGCCTTTAAGATTCTCTCTTTGTCTTTGAGTTTTGCCAATTTGACTATACCATGTCTTGGAGAAGACCTTTTTGCGTTGGATATGTTTGGAGATCGTTGAGCTTCCTGGATCTGAAGATCTGTGATTTTTCCTATACCTGGGAAGTTTTCTGCCACTATTTTGTTGAATATGTTTTCAACNGGTATGGCTACCTCAGTGACTGCTCAGTTGGCCACTAGTGCCTTGCATGTATGGTTGCCTCGCGTCTTGGGCCTCTCCAGGGAGCCACCTCTCTGGTCAGCTTGGACTCTGCCGGGCTGCTGGATCACAGGGCGGTACCACAGGGTGTGTGGTCTCTGCAGAGCTTCCCCTCCCCCTACTGGATGTCTCCCTGCTCTGTGCATGCTAGGCCAGTCTTGGGATGGAGCTGGGTGGCAGAGTGTGTGGTCTCTGCAGAGCTTCCCCTTCCCCTGCAGGATGTCTCCCTGCTCTGTGAGTGCTAGGCCAGGCTTGGGATGGAGCTGGGTGGTGGTGGTGAAGCCTACCTGCTCCTGGATCACGCAGCGGCAGCCCCCCCATAGGGTGTGTGGACTCTACGGAGCTTCTATCTCCCTTGCTGGACGACTCTGTGCTCCATGCACATTGGGCCTGGCTGCTGGATCACGGCAGCAGTGTGGTCCCCGTGGAGTTCCCGCCTCCGCTGCCAGATGTCTCCCTGCTCCGAGTGCACTAGGCTGGGCTCGGAATGGAGCCGGGTGCCTGCGGTGAAGCTTACCTGCTGGATCATGCAGTGGCGTCCCCACAGGGTGTGTGGTTTCTGTGGAGCCTCCGCCTCCCTTGCCAGAAGTCTCCCCACTCTGTGCGCACTGGGCTGGGCTGGGAATGGAGCTGGGTGGCGGCAGTGAAGCCTATCTGTCCAATCGTGCAACGGTGCCCCGCAGGGCATGTGGTCTCCACGGAGCTTCTGCCTCCCGTGCTGTACGTCTCCCCGTTGCATATGCACTTGATGTTATGTTTTTATAGTTTAAATCGGTTGATTTGTGGGAGAGAGTGACACTAGGGACCGTCTATTCCGCCATCTTGACCGGAAGTCGCGTTTTCTCTCTAAGAAATTTTTCCTTTCTCAAAGTTACAAAGAAATCTTTCCAGTCAGAAAGTTATGAAGGTGTTCACCTATGTCTTCTTGAGCTTTGTTGATAAATAGCATCTGGCTATATCATCCATCTCAAGTTGTGTGTAATGGTGAAGTAAGCGGTCAAATACATATATCCAGTTGACCTTGTATCATTTGTTGCCAGACCATTATCTTCTCTCCTTCCCTGAATTGCATTGGAGCCTTTTTCGTAAATTACATGTGGACCTGCTTCTAGACTCTCTTCTGCTGATCTATTGGACTGATGTTGTGCCAATACCTTTCTCTCTTGATTAATGTAGCTTTTATAGAAAGTTTTTATATCTAGTAATTAACTTCGACAGCTTTATAGCCTCCATTATTCTAGGTCATTGGCTTTTCTATATATTTTAACAGCTGCTTGTTGATTTCCAACAACAAAAAAATACTTTTGGGATTTTGATTGTGATTGAATAGTATCTATAGATCAAGGTGGAGTGAATTGACATTGTAACAATATTAAGTCTTATAATCCATGAACACAGTACATTCCTTTACTTACTTAGGTGTCCTTTAATTTCTCTCAGTAATATTTTGTCATTTTCAGTGTAGAGATCTTACACCACTTTGCTTAGATATATTCCTAAGTGTTAAACATTTTTTGATGATTCTGTAAAGGGCATTTATTAAAAATTTCACTTTCTAACTGTAGCTAGTTTATACAAATACTGCTGACTTTTATATGTACCTCTTATCCAGGAACTTTGCTGAATTCTCTTATTTCTAATAAATTTTTTCTAGATTCTTTTGGATTATCTCATCTTTGACATGTTTTATTTTCTTTGCCAATTTTAATATTTTTTGTTTCATTTTCTTATCTTATTGCACTGGCTAGAATTCCCAGTACAATGCTAAATAGAAAGGATGGTAATGAACACCATGCATTCTCAAACTCATGGGGAAGACATTAAACATTTTACCACTAAGTGTGATATTAGCTATAGGTATTTTGTTGTCTATTGTCAAATTAAGGAAGTTCCCTTCAACTATTAGCTTACTAAGAAGTGTTTGTTTTTTCATGAATGGTGTTAAATTTTATCAAATGATCATTTACTTTTTTCCCTTTATTCTGTTAATGTGGTGAATTACATTGACTGATTTTTCAATGTTAAACCAACCTTCCATTCCTGGAATAAACTTCACTTGATCATGATATATTATCCTTTATATGAACTACTGGATTCTATCTGCTAATATTATGTTTAAGGATTTTTAGTCTTTTTCCATGAGAAACATTGGCTTTAAATTCCCTTTCTTGGGCCGGCCCGTGGCTCACTCGGGAGAGTGCGGTGCTGATAACACCAAGGCCACGGGTTCGGATCCCACATAGGGATGGCCGGTTCGCTCACTGGCTGAGTGTGGTGCTGACAACACCAAGTCAAGGGTTAAGATCCTCTTACCGGTCATCTTTAAAAAAAAAAAAAAAAAAAAATTCCCTTTCTTGGGTCTGGTCAGTTAGCTCAGTTGGTTAGAGCACAATGACACCAAGGTCAAGGGTTCGGATCCCCTGCCAGCCAGCCACCAAAAAAAAAAAAAAAAATCCCTTTTTCGTAGTGTCCTTGTTAAATTTTGTTATCAAGATTTTTTTGGCCTCATAAAATGTGTTGGGAAAGCATTTCCTCTTTTTCTATTCCCTGAAAGAGTTTGTATAAAGGTAGTACTATTTCCTCTTTAGTAGTTCTGAAGAATTTACTAATTGACGTCATCTGAATATGAAATTTTATTTGTTGAAAAGTTTTAAATTATGGATTAGAAATTTTAAATAGTTATAGGACTACTCAAGTTCTTAATTTTTTCTTGTGTCAGTTTTGGAAGGTTGTATTTCTCAGGAATGTGTACAGTTCATTTAAATTTTCAAATGTGTTGGCATGAAATTTTTCACAATATCATCTTACTATCTTTTTAATGAATGTAGGGTATTTCTTATGTTCTTTCATCACAACACTTTCACAGTCTGTTTCCCTTTCATGCATTTGTTTCATTAGAATATAAGCTCCATGAAGACAGTAATTTGTCTCTTGCTCATTGCTGTGTGCCCAATGCCTAGAACAGATGTGGTACATGATAGTTGCTCAGTACATGTCTATGAGAGATGGAGTCCTGAGGGGGATACTCTCAGGGTGGACAGGTTGGGTCTCTATTGTCCTGGGAAAGTCCTTTTCCCTTTACCACTATATTCTTCAGGCTCAACATAATGCAGGGCATAATGAATGGAGGCCTCTCTGTGTCCCTATCCAGCTCTGCACTGGGCCTGGCCATGGGGGTTGGGGCTTGGGGCTTAGGCTTCTTGGCCTGTTTTTGTGCAGAGCCGCCCTCCATGCGTCTGAAGGCCCGACCCAGCAGCCCTGGCTTTTCCGTGCTCACCTGCAGTGCCTTCTCCTTCTACCCCCCGGAGCTACAACTTCGATTCCTACGGAATGGGCTCGCAGCTGGTTCTGGAGAGGGTGACTTTGGCCCCAACGGCGATGGCTCTTTCCATGCCTGGTCATCATTAACAGTTAAAAGTGGCGACGAGCACCACTACCGCTGCCTTGTGCAGCATGCGGGGCTGCCACAGCCCCTCATGGTGGAGCTGGGTGAGGTCCTGCAGAGTGATGATCTTCCTTATTTCTGATTGCCTTTTGTCCCACTGCCACAGCAATCCTTCCTGAGTCTGACTTGTGCCCCACTACTGCCAATTCTCCTAAAGCCTGATGGCCTTCTATCCTGTGTGGCTTGTCTTCCCCAAGTCTAACTGCCTTCCATTCTGCTGCTCCTGGCCTCATTGAGTATGAACACCTGTTAACCACAATGGCCAGTCCTCCCTAAGTCTGACTGTCTTCGATCCTGCTGCTGCTGGTCTTCATGGAATCTGCCTGCTACTGCCAGTCCTCACCAAGACTGACCATCTACTACCTTGCTACTGCCAGTCCTTCAGGAGACTGACCCGCTGATGCTCTGTGCCTGCCCCTCCTTCCTGAGTCAGAACACCACCCCCCCTGCCGCTACAGGTCCCTTGCCAGTGTGACTGAGATCTCTATTGCTGTGGCTGGTTCTTAACATCCAACCTGGGAGCATCCTGCCCAGACCCACAGCACCAGCTGACTGGCTGTTGTGCCCACCCCACCCCCACCCCCAGACACTTGGTGGTCTGAGGATGGGAGGCACTAGCTCTCTGTCCTGGTTCAGATGGGGTGGAGGATTTATTCAACAGCTGATCGCATTCTCTGGCTACAGAATCTCCAGCCAAGTCCTCAGTACCTGTGGTTGGAATCGTCATCGGCTTCTTGCTGCTCACGGCAGCAGCTGCAGGAGGAGCTCTGCTGTGGAGGAGAATGAGGAATGGGCTGCCAGGTGTGGAGCAGGAAAAGGAAGAGAGTCTCAGAAGGAGGGACAGAGACCTCAAAAGAGCGGGGGACACACACCTGGGAAGACAGAGATCTTGAGAGAGAAGGACAGAGACCCAGTGGGAGGGGGGACGGTGACCCTGAAAGAGAGGGACAAAGACCCAGAAAAAGGGGAGGACAGAAACCAGAGGAAAGGGAACAGAGGCCCAGGAGGAGGGGGACAGAGACCCAGAGGGAAGGGAACAGAGACAGAGAGTAAGACAAAGACAGACACAGAAATGTGTGGCCAGAGACTCAGAGGGTCTCCTCTGAGTCACCCCTTTCTGATGACACCACTTTCTCGCTTTTCAGCCCCTTGGATCTCTCTTCGTGCGGACGACTTAGGGGCCCTCCTGCCCACCCCTGGCTTGCCCCAGGATGCCGACTCTCAGGATGTAAATGCATTTCCAGCAACTGCCTGACCACCTGCATTCTGGCTGCTAATAACTAATGTAGTCAGGTCTTTTTCATGCTGTGAGACCCCCTGGAATCCTGGCATCTCTGAGCCACCAGAAGGAGTCCGGAGCCCGATGTCTTCCCTCTGGTCCCCTCCTCCCCTCCTCCCGTGGCCTGCCTCAATTTTCCCTCCTAATATATATGGTTCTTTCCACATCCACATATATCTTGTGTTCGGGCCCAAATCATCGTGTTCTCATCCTTTCAAGTTTTCAGGCAGGGGATGTAAGGGAATGGGTGGGGAGAATGAATGGTGTGAACCCTGGGCTTCAGATCTCTCCTGCGGCTGACATGTTGCCATGGTGGAATGTGCCAATTTAATACATCAATTTTATGTATTTTTCATTCATAAATTTCACAAATATTTACTGAATGTCTACAACGTGCCAGGCATTTTGAGGATGACAAAGGAAAGGGAAAAAAATACATTTTCCGGGAGGCTGTGGCGCAAGAGCCACTGGAGGTGGTTGGGCAGGGCGCCCCGACAGCTGCCGGGAGTCGTAGTCCCCCCTAGCCGCGTCGCCCAGGCGTCGCCCACCCGGCCTTGGCTGGGCAGACGCGCTTTCCTCTGTGGACGTGGCAAGGGGCGTCCGCGGGCTCCCGGCACGCGTTAGCCCCGCCCCGCGGGGGCCTTCGCGCGCGCTCATTGGTCGGGAGGCGTGGCCTCTGCGCTGCGGGAGGCTGCCTGGCTGGAGCGCGGCCAGACTGGGCATCTTTGGGAGCACTGAGTGGAGCGTGGAGAGTGAAGCGAATCTGGATAACGGGGTAAAGGGAGGGGGTGGGGCGGGGGCCTGTGCAGGGAGGGCGGCTCGGGTTGAGGATCAGGGTCCAGGCCGGGAGTGACGCCGGGGACCTGCCTGATCTCTCGCTGGCCACCATCATACCCTGCACTTTGCGTGGGACGTGCGCCACGTCTCCCCCTGGAATACCCTCTTGCGGCTCTGGGGCCGCTGTGGGACTCCCTGGAGATTCGGCCCCCACAGCTGGTTTTATCTCTGAGCACCTCCCCCTCCTTTTCCCCATTACCGGCCTTCCTTGAGCCTCAAACTTTGCGGCCAGCTCCCATCTCTCTGTCCTGTTCTGGGTAACCCCATCCCCCACCCCGCTATTCTTCTATCCCGTTTCTGTCCTCTTCCCTGTGACCAATGACCCCTGGCTTTCGCCACTCCGCAGGGACCGATGATGTGGCGACCATCACTTTTGCTGCTTCTGTTGCTGCTAAGGCGTGGGGCCCAGGGGAAGCCGTCACCTGACGCCGTCCCTCATGGCCAGGGGAGGGTGCACCAGGCGACCCCCCTGAGCGAGGCCCCTCATGATGACGCCCACGGGAACTTCCAGTACGACCATGAGGCTTTCCTGGGACGGGAAGTGGCGAAGGAATTCGACCAGCTCAGCCCAGAGGAAAGTCAGGCCCGTCTGGGGTAGGAGAGAAACAGGGGATGTGGGTGGCCTGTTCAGAGGTAGGGGTTGGGGAGAGAGATGGGTGCATTGATGAGGTGACGGTCAGAGGACCGGGAAAGAGAGATGGCATGCACTGGACTTCTGCTTTTGTGAGACTCCAATAACGAAATTCTCTCTCTCCTCCTTGGGAAAGATACAAATTAAGTTAAGATTGAGGCCTCAAGATATGTTTTTAGAGGACAGCAACAGTATCTGGGTTCAGATTCTGGCTCCTAAGTCACCCTTTGTTCCTTTGTCCCAGACACCTACCCTCCCCGAGCCTCAGTTTCCTGCTCTGTAAATGGGTCAACAGTACTTCTTGGCAGGGGCTGACATGGAAAATGAGATTTGGCATGTAAGGAGCCCAGACAAGGACGGAAGATGACTTAGCACCGAGTCCCAGGGTGAATTGTGTTGAATGGGGTCTTGCCACAAACTGAAGAGGGCCTGTTCACCCTCTGTGTGCGGGAGACAGGGCCAGAATGGACCTGAGGGCAGGGAGGCGATGGAACCAGCCCCTCTCTGTGCATCCTACTGCTGCTCATTCATCCCACAAATGTTTATTGAGCACCACTTTGTGCCAGTCATTGCTCTAGGTGCTGAAGCACAGCAGTGGACAAATCAGACAGCAATCCCTGACCTCATGAAGTTTACATTGTAGTGGGGGAGACAATAAATCTATAAGTATAGAATGCATAAAATAGAGATAAATATACAAGCTGCTGTGGTCTGAAAGAAAAAAATAGATATAAACACACAAGAGAAAAATTAAAGCAAGGGAGTGAAGAAGTGTGGAGGGGAGAGGTTGGGGGAGGGGGAGGGTTGCAATTTTAAGCAGGGGAGTCAGTGGAGGCTTCAGTAAGAAGGTAATATGTGAGTCATGTGCGTTTCTGGGGGAATAGCATTCCAGGCAGCAGGAATGGTGAGTGCAAAGGCCCCGAGGCAATTGCTGGCCTGGTGTGGTAGAAGAAGAGTGAGGCCCACATGGCTAGAACTCAGGAAGGGAGGGAGAGAGGGAGGGAGGGAGAGAGGGAGGGAGGGAGGCGAGGACAGAGGGCGAGCCAGGGGATCAGATCGTGCAGGGTTTTTAGGGTCACAGTGAAGACTTGGGCTTTTCTCTGAATGGGATGAAAGCCATGGAAGGGTTCTGAGTAGAGGGAAGATGTAAGCTAACAGGTTTTAAGAGAATCCCTCTGACTGCAGGGTGGGGAACAGGTTGTAGGCAGCAAGAAGCAGGGAGCCCAGTGATGAAGCGACTGCAACAAGGCAGGCAGAGAAAAAAACAAATGAAGAAAAAAACATAATAATAATCCAAGTGGGAGACAAGAGAAAATGGTGGCTAGATCAGGGTGACAGTGGCCGTCGTGGCCAGATCTGCCCACAGGAAGACTGTCGTGGATGGGGGTGGATGAAGGAGGGTGGGGGAGGAAGGGCATAGGATAACACATTTAGCTTAACACTAATTGCAATACCAGGCACTGTTCTAAGTGCTTTACGGCTTAAATCACTTAATCCCCAAAACCACTCTGTGGGGTAGGTACTATTGTTTATCCCCATTTTACAGAGGGGTAACTGAGGCTCAGAGAGGTCAAGTAGCTTGCCCACAGTCACACTGCCAGCAAGAAGAAGTAGTGGGCAGCAGGATTCGGACTTAGAATGTCTGCTGTGGAGCCCACACTCTTAACCACAGCTGGAACCTCAGGCTAGGAAAGGTGTGAGTCCTGAGAATAGAGTCATCCCCTGACAGACACTGCCAGAGACAGCCCGGTGCAGGAGGGCTCGGCGACCTGGGTAAAGCCAGGGCAGGCTCGGCTGTCTCGGATTCCACTTTGGGGACTGGGCCACGGGCGCTGGGGAATGATGACAGGACGGAGGGCTGCGCTCTGTTAGATGCGGGGCGAAGACCGGGACCCGTGGCCGGGCGTCACCAGGGGAGAGCGGAAGGGCCAGGGAGCGGCCCAAGAGGAGAAAGGGGCGTGAGGTGGGACCTGAAATAGATTGACATGCGATGGAGAGGTGCGCAGGAATCCGGCTGAGCATGGGGAGTGGAAGACAGGCCGGAGGCCGAGCCCGCGCGGTTGCGGGGAACAGTCCTAGGGCAGTGCCGTATAAAACTGGGAGAAAGCTGCGGGACGCAGCACGGGGCGGGGCTGGAGGGGAGGGGTCTGCTAAGGAAGCGGCGGGACACGGGGCGGGGTTAGAAGTGAGGCTCTGGAGACAGGGGCCGGCGGTGAGGGGCGGGGCGTGGGGCGAGACCCGAGAAGGTGGGAGGTCGGGAGTGTGCGGCCGTGGTGGTCGGGGTTCGGAGTCCGTCCACCGCGGGCGAGGGGTGCGGTGGGACGCCCCGCTCCCTATCCCCACCCCAACTCAGTCCTTCGAAAGGTGGAGCATATGCAGGGTGGGGGCGGGGCCAGAGTGGAGGGTGTGGCCCTGGATTGTTGTGGGTCCTTCCCCCAACCCCTGAAAAAAAACAGCGCTGCCGCCGCAGACCCGCTAGGTATCGGAAAGAGCGTGACTCGCCTCCAGGGCGGAGTCTAGGCTGGGCGGGCAGTGCCATGCGGTGGGTGCATATGTGCCCTCGCTGGCACCCGGGATCGTGGACTGCATTTTCAGCCCTATATGGGGGTGTATCTTGGGTGGAGGCGAGGCTCTGCCAGAAGGGCGGAGCCTGATGGGACGGTCCATAGACGGGCGGGCCCTGAGACTGACGTATGCCCCGCCCCGGCTCGCAGGCGGATTGTGGACCGCATGGACCGCGCCGGGGACGGTGACGGCTGGGTGTCGCTGGCCGAGCTTCGCGCGTGGATCGCGCACACGCAGCAGCGACACATACGGGACTCGGTGAGCGCGGCCTGGCACACGTACGACACGGACCGCGACGGGCGTGTGGGTTGGGAGGAGCTGCGCAACGCCACCTATGGCCACTACGCGCCCGGTACGCGGGAGACCCTGACCCTTGCTCCTCACACACACCGTTATCCTGGCCTTTTTGAATCCCCCACCCCCTCATCTTCAGAACCCTTAACCCATTTACGCAGAATTCCTGACCCTTGACCAGGGCCTACCCACTTTTAAGGGTAGGTCTCATCACTCTGAGACACGCCAATCCCTGACCTCTCCTCTGGCTTTTTATTCTGGGATCCACGACCTTTATGACCTCGTGACTGGGGGACTTCAGATCGCTGACCAGGGACACCTATCTCTCATGCCCTGTCGTGCTGACCCCTGACCTCTGTGACCTCTCATCCTGGGAACCCCAAAGCCATTTACTCTGCACCCTGACTCTCTTGGTTTCTCCTCTCTGTCCCAATGCCCCAACACCGGGCCCCCCACAGTTCTCGTTCTCTCCCTCCTGGTCCCTTGACCCAGCCTCCCCCTCCAGCCAGTACCTCACATAGCTCTCCTGGGCCCCCAGGAGACAGTCCTGGCTCCTCACCCTGGCCTTGCCCACCCTCCAGCTTTGCTTTTCTGCATTTTCTGTCCCAAATGGATCTTCTGTGGTTTCCCTGAACTCACCATGCTCCTCAAACCTCTATGTGGTGCACATACTGTTCCCTCTGATGAAAATGCCTTTCCCCTCTGTCAAGCAACCTGTAAATATAACACTGCATCAGAGCATGACATTGGGGCCAAACTGGCCACTGTCAACTCAAAGTTCACCATTCCTGGCTGCATGCCCTTGGGCAAGTTATTTGCTCTATCTGGAAGTCAGTTTTCTCATTGAAGAACCCTCTTTACTTGCTTTTTGTGAGGATTAAATGCAATATTGTGGGTAAAGAGTTTAGCATATTAATAAGCTGTCACTACAAATTAGCTAACATATGTTATATATGATATAATTTATTATATATTATAAACTTGTATAATAAATTATATATAAATTTTTGGGGTTTTTCTGGTGGCTGGCTGGTACAGGAATCTGAACCCATGACTTTGGTGTTACCAGCACCATATTCTCCCAAGTTAGCTAACCAGCCAGTCATAAATTATACAGTAACAAATATTAATTATTATTAATCTCGTGGATGTCTTCATGCCCCCGAGGTAGCTCTCCTTTTTCTTTTTCCTCAACCTGCCTGACATTACCTCTATTAAAGCATATCTCATTGAAATCTGTCCTTCCCCAGGTGAAGAATTTCACGACGTGGAGGATGCAGAGACCTACAAAAAGATGCTGGCTCGGGACGAGCGGCGTTTCCGGGTAGCTGACCAGGATGGGGACTCGATGGCCACTCGGGAGGAGCTGACAGCCTTCCTGCACCCTGAGGAGTTCCCTCACATGAGGGACATCGTGATCGCTGTGAGTGAGGCTGGAGGCACCTGTTTCCTGCCACCCACACCTTTCTGGGACTGGGGCTTCTGATCCCAGTGCTTACCTTGGGGCCGGCAGTCACCTAGTTCTCCAGCATCTTCCCCAGGGAACCCAGGCCACAAATGCAGATTAGTGGAGAGTGGCATTTCCCATGTCTACTCCCTGAGCCCCAATGTCTAATCTCTCCTTGCTGGGCCTTCCCATCCCTTTGCTCATATTTGGGGTCCAGGCCCTCAGCCTGCCCTCAGACGACCACATCGCCAGAAGTGCCTCAGGGAATCCCAGTCCTGGCTGTACCCCAGGAAAATCCAAGCCCCACACATGGAGTGTCTAGTCTGAGACTCCTTGCTGGCCCCTCATTTTATTATTATTATTCCTGTATAATTTTTTGCCAAAACCTGCTCTATTTTGTAGTGGAACAATTTTTTTTTCTTTTCCTTTTTAAAAATAGACTTTATTTTTTAGAGAAGTTTTAGGTTCACGGCAAAATTGAGCAGAAAATATGGAGATTTCCCATATGCCCCCTACCTCCCAACACACATACAGCCTCCCCGACTATCCACATCCCCCAGCAAATGGTACATTTGTTACAACCAATGAACCTACATTGACACATCACTGTCACCCACAAAATATTCTTCTAGACTGGTGGTTCGCAAACTGTGGTCTTGGGACCCCTGCACTCCCCAAGATATTTCTAGAGAGGGCCAGCCCGTGGCTCACTCGGGAGAGTGTGGTGCTGATAACACCAAGGCCACGGGTTCCGATCCCATATAGGGACGGCCGGTTCGCTCACTGGCTGAGCGTGGTGCTGACAACACCAAGTCAAGGGTTAAGATCCCAGTCATCTTTAAAAAAAAAAAAAAAAACATTGCTTCTTGGCCTTTCGGCTAAGATCAAGTGCAGAAGCAAAAGCATGAATATATTCTCTTTATCCCCCTTTTTACACAACTGGTAGCATGCTCTGACATGTTTCTGCACTCTTTCCTTTCACTTAACAACACCTCTCTGAGACTGTTCCATACAGGCTTTGAGGAACTGCCTCCTCCATTTCTATAGCTGTGTAGGAATCCTCTGCTGCTCTGTTGTAATTTATTTAGCCACTTCTGCTGGACAGCAGCGCTGGTTCCTATCTGCTGTTGTTACAAAGAATGCAGAATAATCTTGAACACACATCATGTCATTTTACACACACATGTCAATGTAGCTGTAGGATAAAACTTCTGGAGTGGAATGGCTGGGTCAACGGGGATGTGCATTTGCAGTCGTGTTGGGTATTTCTAGGCATTTTATATACTTGTTTTGTTCAGCTTCACAATGGCCCTTTGATGTGGGGCTTTTGGCCTGTTTCAAGGATGGGCACTGAGATCCAGAGAGGAGAGGTGTCACCTTGCTGCCCAGGCCAGCCAGGGACAAGCCTAGTATCACTTTCAAACCCCATGGACCCCCACCACCACCCTTTGAGGCCCAATGCCCCTCTATTATAGCAGATAATATTTTAACACCCCTTTACTCTCCTGAGCTGACATTATTTAAGAAACCCCGCGCTTCCCAAGCGGCGCACTATCCAGTGCGCCACCGGGCCGGCCCACCGGTCATCTTTTTTTAAAAAAAAAAAAAAGAAAGAAACCCTGATTGAGCATATCTTGTGTGCTGGGCACCCTTCTAACACCTTTACCTCCATTTCTTTGATTTAGTCATCATGACAACCCTATGGGAGTAGGCTGTCACCTTCATTTTAGATAAGGACACCTAGACACAGAGAGGTGAGGTGACTTGCCTGAGATCACTCAGATAAGAAATAGCACAGTCTGGATTCGAACCCAGGAAGTCGAGTCCCTGGTCTAAACCAGGGATGGCAAATTACAGCCTGCTGGCTAAATCTGGCCCACAGCTTGTTTTTGCAAATAAAGTTTTATTGTAACCCAGAGGTGCCCATTTGTTTACATGTGGTATACAGCTGCTTTCATGCTTCAACTGCAGAGTTGAGTTGTTGAAAGAGAGACCATATGGCACACAAAGCCAGAAACATTCATTATCTGGCCCTTCCTTCACAGAAAAAGTTTGCTGAGCCCTAGTCTAAACTCTCTGCTTTTTTTTTTTTCCTTTTTGTCTTTTTCCGTGTCCGGCAACGGATCGCAACCCTCAGTGTCGCCCCCGTACCGGACTGGGACCAGCAACGGGATTGCAACCCTCGGTGTTGCTCCCGCGCCTCGCTCAGCCAGTGAGCAGGAACCGGTCTGCATGTGGGATCCGAACCCTCGGCGGGAGCGCCGCCGTGCTTCCCAAGTGGTGCACTATAGCAGTGCGCCACCGGGCCGGCCCGACTCTCTGCTTTTTTTTTAAAAATTTTTTTTGTCAGCTGGCCAGGATGAGGACCCAAACCCTTGACCTTGGTGTTACAAGGTTGTGCTCTAACAAATTGAGCCAACTGGCCAGCCAAAACAAAGTACATTTATTTGTTTTTTTGTTGTTGGCTGGCCAGTAGGGGAGATTTGAACCCTTGACCTTGATGTTGTAACACCATGCTCTAACCAACTTCTGCTCTCGTCTCTCTCATTCATAGGTAATGTCACCTCCCCACACACAGAATTTCAAAACGTGGATATTAGTCCTAACTGTACTATAAGGAACAAACTAAATGAAATTCACTTGCAATAAATAACAGGAATTTCAATATGTAGGTGTTGTAGAGTTACTAGATTTAGCAAACAACACAGGACACTCAGTTACACTTGAATTTATAATAACACGTAATATAAACAAGAAATAATTCTTTTTTTTTTCCTTTTTGTCTTTTTTCGTGACCAGTAACGGGATCACAACCCTTGGTGTCATGCCCGTACCGTGACCGGCAACGGGATCGCAACCCTCGGTGTCGCGCCCGCACCGCACTCAACGAGTGAGCGGACCGGTCTCTATATGGGATCCGAACCCTCGGCAGGAGCGCTGCCGCGCTCCCAAGTGCCGCACTCTACCGAGTGCACCACCGGGCCGGCCCAAGAAATAATTCTTTAGTATAAGTATGTCTTACATAATAGTTAGGCTTAGTATAAGGATGTCCCACACAATATTTGGGACATACTTATACTAAAAAATTATTTATTTGAAATTTGAATGTAGGGCTGGCCTGTGGCTTACTTGGGAGAGTGTGGTGCTGATAACACCAAGGCCACGGGTTCGGATCCCATATAGGGATGGCCGGTTCTCCCACTGGCTGAGCGTGGTGCTGACAACACCAAGTCAAGGATTAAGATCCCCTCACCGGTCATCTTTTAAAAAAAAAGAAATTCGAATGTAACTCATCTAGTAGTATAAATATGTCCCACATATTTGTATGGAACATATTTATACTAAAGAATTATTTGTTGTTCATCTGGAATTCAAATGTAATCTGGCATACTGTATTTTATCTGTCAACTTTAAAATGTTGGAGCTTGACATCACTAGAAGGCAAAGCGTCAGACGCCTGCACTGTCTTATGCTGAATGAGTTTGAATGTAAAAGTGGGAAAAGAAGCCATTTTGCTGCACAAGTGCAGAATATACAAAGAGCAGAGGTGTTGAGCATGTGTCAAAATTATCCACAAAGTGTTCTGTGTTTACACACAAAGTAGACTTAGGGTCTAGGCTCTGCCAAATATAAAGAGGTTTCTCCTCTCACTTGGGAGAGCGTGGTGCTGGTAACACCAAGGTCAAGGATTCAGGTCCCCATACTGGCTAGCTGCCAAAAAAAAAGAGGTTTCTTCCCTTCAAGAGTATTTTCTGGGGCTTGAGAAAGTTTTTAGGGACACCAGACAGCACTGCTTGTGTGGAACCAACCTGTGCATTGATGGACATTGGGGTCCCCTGGCTCCCGCCCACTAAATGCAGGTAGTGCCTGCATCATTATGATACCCCAGAAAGTCCCAAATTCCCACCTCTGCCCCACTGAGACTGCTCCAATGCCTGCCTCCAACAGCCATCACAGAGCTAAAGTCCTCCTGAGAGAACCTCACATTCTGATCCCAGGGGTCCAGCCTTCCATGGGAGACAGGTGCGTCAACCCCCAGCTTCAATGCCTCTTTCTCCCCAGGAAACCCTGGAGGACCTGGACAAGAATAAAGATGGCTACGTCCAAGTGGAGGAATACATCGGTGAGTGGGGCCCAGTTCCCTTCCTGGCATGCCCATCCTCTCCTGGGCATAGATGAAGCCTGATGCATAGCACCGGTAATAGAACAATGGACCGCTGAACTGGGGGCAGGGCACTGCTTGAGTTCATGCATCTACCAAACATTTATCAAGTGCCTACTGTATGCTAGACACAAAAAGCATCTATTGGTCACCTACTGTGTGCTAGGCCCAGCAAACATTTGTTGAGTGCTTGTATTTACTGAGTCCAGCCAAATCTTTATTAAGTAGCTACATGTAGGCCACACCCCAAAAGCATGTATCAAGCATCTACTATGTGCCAGCCTCGGGAAACATTTATTGAGCACTTACTGTATACTGATGGTTGAGGATGCAGAGACAAGGTCTCTTCTTGGGGATGTGGAGTTTCTACAAAGTCAAGGCTGAGGCGCTGTTTGGTTGGGTGGGGTTCAGGAGATTTGTCTTGAACCTGCATTTCCACAGCAAACACTGCATCTCCTGTTACTTGGGATGTTGGAGGGACCCTCACAATTCCCCCAAATTTCCCATTGGCCCTGCCCCTAAGGGACAAAGAATTTAGCTGCAAGGAAAGCTATTAAGCACAGAATTTTTTTAAAGCTTAAAAACATTTTTCTGTAGAATGTTTTCTATGGAACAAAACTGCAGGTAAGACACTTTAAGTGTAATTTGTATTTTAACATCTATGAGGAAGATAAGAGTCTTTTTTTTTTTTTTTTTTTTTTTTTTTTTTTTGGTAAGAACTCAGACATCACAGTGGAATAGTAACAACAGCTGACACATAGTCACTTACCACCTGCGGGAGACCCTGTTTTAGTGGTTAATCTTGTAATTTCATGTAATCCTCACATCAACTCTATGAGATGGGCATATGAGATTATCACCCCATTTTCCAGAGGAGGAAGCTGAGGCCCAAAGGGTAAGACACTTGACTGAGGTCATCTGCCAGCCAGAGGAGGAGCAGGACTTGTGTCCAGCCCAGGCTGTGCTGCTCCCTTCCTTGTGGGGCTCTGGGGACACAGACATGGGCAGAACCAATCCAGTCCTTGCCTGTTTAATTGCAGCCTGGGGGATAGGCAGGCAGGACTCCAGGATTCCCCAAGGAAATGTATATTTAAAAGTGCTGAGGGCCGGCCCGTGGCTCACTCGGTAGAGTGCGGTGCTAATAACACCAAGGCCCCGGGTTCGGATCCCACATGGGGATGGCCGGTTCGCTCACTGGCTGAGCGTGGTGCTGACAACACCAAATCAAGGGTTAAGATCCCCTTACCGGTCATCTTTAAAAAAAAAAATAAATTAAAAAAAAAAAATAAAAGTGCTGAATGGTACTGGGAAGGATTTGAGTGAAGAGGACTGAGGGGGCTTCACGGGTGCTGACCTACCTGGCGCTGGGGGGCAGTGTCAGGGAAGATGGGGGAGCTGGGGGGTGCAGAGCCAGCCTGCCTGCTTCCCCCCTGCCTCCTCCCAGCCATGTGACTAAAAAGTTTCCTCAGCCTCTCTGAGCCTCGGTTTCCTCATCTGTAAATGGGGGTAATAGAGCACCCATCACATAGGACCACGTATGGTTCCCGCTTGGATTTAGCAAGTAAACTCATGTCCAGAGCTTAGCACAAATACCAGCATATGGGGCCGGGAGGTAGTAGCTCCCATTAAGAGGGTGATCAGCCCTTGGCACTTTTTGGACATCAAGTATCTGTCCCCTCTTGGTGATCCTGGCACCCTAGGGGTGACTGTTTACTGCATTGAACTGAGACAGGGATTGGGGGTGAGAGACAGAGAAAGAGTTGGGGAACCTGCATCCTTGGTGGAAGGAACAGCACAGGCAAAGGCCCTGAGATAGGAAAGGGGTCAATGCATTGAGAAGGACACAGGTGGCCAGTGAGGGACAAGCAGAGCCTTAGGGACTAGGGAGTTCATGTCAAAACAAATGGGAAGTCGTCATCATCATCATCATCATCATCATCATCATCTGGCCAGCTGCAAAAAAAAGAGAGGAAATATAAAAAATAAAAATTATAATAGTATCGTATTTCCTGTAATATAAGATGCCATCTCATTTATAAGATAGGCCTACCTTTTACACATGATGAAGAAAGAAACTAAAAGCTGCCAATTAAACTATGTCTTGACTTATAAGGCACAGCCCAAATCAGAGAGGCTAAAATGTTGGGCGGGGGGGCATTCAATGAAATACAGTAATCAATGAAATACAGTAATGACACCAATTTGTTCAGCAAACGTTTAGGGAGTACCTGCCAGACACTGTTGGAGGTCCGAGGGAGACAGCTGTGAAACAAACATACCCTCCCTCCTGACGAGACAGAGCATGAACGATCAGCCACCTCTACAGTGTGTCAGGTGGATTAAAGCATCGTGGAGCGGGGATGACGGGTTAGCTCAGTTGGTTAGAGCACAGACTTATAACTGGGTTCGGATCCCAGCACCAGCCAGCTGCCATTTACAAATAATTGAAACAAATGAGAAGCTCCAGCAATCTTGAGGGAGGTTCTTAGAGTGAGACAAGCTGTACTAAGACTAATATCTGGCCAGAAAAATCTCCACTCCTTCCGCCTTCATATGGAGGCTTACTGTGTGCTACCCGAGACACACACTATTTCACAGGTATCAAATCCATCTATCACTCAATCAATAAAATCAGTTTCACATGTAACATAATGATTGCCTGTAAATCAGGTTTTGTTACTAATCCCACTGAAAGAGGTGAGTGGCCCAAGGTCACAGGCCAGGAAGTGTTAGAGCCAGGATTGGACCTGGGGTCCGCTTGCCCTGGAGCTGCCCCTGACCCCCCGCTCTCCTGGCCCCCAGCGGATCTGTACTCGGCGGAGCCTGGGGAGGAAGAGCCGGCCTGGGTGCAGACAGAACGGCAGCAGTTCCGGGACTTCCGGGATCTGAACAAGGACGGGCGATTGGATGGGAGTGAGGTTGGCTACTGGGTGCTGCCCCCGTCCCAAGACCAGCCACTGGTAGAAGCCAACCACTTGCTACAAGAGAGCGACTCGGACAAGGTATGCTGATGTGGGCCGCGCAGGCAGGCGCTGGGCTGGGTAGACAGAAACGAGCAAGACCTGGGCTTGAGCAGCAGTGGTCCCTGTTCTGTGGGATAGAGAAAGAGGAACGTAGAGAGAGGAATGGGGGACCCAGAGAGGAAGGGTCACAGAGACCTGGGGGACGTACTTAGATGCAGGCAGGGCTTCATGTCATCCCCATTGATCTCTGACCCTCCCTCCAGGACGGGCGTCTGAGCAAAGCTGAGATCCTGGGCAACTGGAACATGTTTGTGGGCAGCCAAGCCACCAACTATGGCGAGGACCTGACACGGCACCATGATGAGCTTTGAGTTCTGACGTGCTCCGCCACAGCCTCAGAGCCCCATGGGACCCCCTGAGGAGGGGCGACAGTGGCCGGCCCCCTCCCTCTCCCAGCCCCGAGGGATGCTGCTGTGTCCTCCTACCCCTGGGCTCTCAGGGAACCACCTGGGTCAGTTTCTCTCCTTGAGACATTCCCAGTTCTCCCCACCCTGCCTCAGGGGCTCTCCCAGACCCAGAGTGTGAGTGACACTAATTTCTGAATGGTGGAATCTTCCAGCCCAGACCCAGGGACCCTCACCCCAAACTCAGCCTCTAAGAGCCTCCGTTACACACCCCAGTTGCAAATCTGAGTCCCTGCTCCTAACAGCCTGGCCATAGACCCTCAGAGAAGATCTAGAAATGGGAGACACAAGAAAAGGAATGGGGGGCCGGCCCGTGGCTCACTCGGGAGAGTGTGCTGCTGATAACACCAAGGCCCCGGGTTCGGATCCCATATAGGGATGGCCGGTTCGCTCACTGGCTGAGCGTGGTGCTGACAACACCAAGTCAAGGGTTAAGATCCCCTTACCGGTCATCTTTTTTAAAAAAAAAACAAAAAAGAAAAGGAATGGGACTGGGAAATGGGGTGGGGGGACAAGGGAGGGGAGGAGATCTCTTACCTTTTTTTACATCTTTTGGGCATTTAACCACATCAATATGTTACTTATTTGTGAAGTACATGTAATTAGAATTTAAAAATAATTTGTGAAAAGTTTAGCGTGGTAGAAGTGAGTAAAAATCCTTCCACTAAGAGCGAACCCTAATGTAAACTATGGTCTGTGGGTGACAGTAATGTGTCAATGTAGATTCATCGGTTGTAAAAAGTGGTTGAGGACCCTCAACCCAAGCTCAGCCTCCACAAGCCTCTACTACCCACCCCAGCTCCAAATCTGAGCCTCAATCACAGACTGAAAAACTCTCCCAGCCTCAGCCCCAGCCCCAGCCCCGGCCCGCCCAGCACTGTCCCAAGGACACCTCCCCTCTGCCAGGGAGGCAATAAAATCCAGTGCTGGGGCTGCCTCTGTGTGTCTGTCTCTCTGTGGGGGTGTCATGGGCCCTGGGGAGGAATTGGGGGTTGTGACTGGGAGAAGAGCATGCTGGAAGTTGGGGGCTGAGGTATTGGAAGGGGGAGTTCTGGGTATTGGTGGGGCTTAAGGGTGTTCATTTCTAGATGAAAAATAAAGCTAGCAGCTCAGACTCTGCAATACCCAAGCCAGACAGGAAGCCCTGCCCTCTCAGCTCGAGTTCTGTGGGAAAGCAGAGATGCAGCAGCATAAAATGTGTCACAGAGTAAAAGACGCTATGAAGCAGGGTAAGGAGGTAGGAACTGTGGCAATGTTCTGATAACCGAGTGGCCGAGAAAGGCCTCAGTGGTAAATGGAGTGAGGGAGGGAGCCATGGGGACATCTGGAGGAAGAGCACTCCAGGGAGAGGGAACAGCAAGTGCAAAGGCCCTGAGGAAGGACTGGCCTGGTGTGTCTGAGCGTTAGCGAGGAGGCCAGTGGCTGGAATGGGGTGAGTGACAGGGAGAGGGTGGGAGGAAAAGACCCAGAAGGAGGGGGAGAGAGACCCAGAGAGAAGAGGGACAGAGTTTCTTCTTAGTCACCTGGGAGCCACTGGATGGTCCTGAGCAGAGGAGGGTAATTAGAGGCTCCGCTGCTGAGCTAGGGCAGGGGTGGAAGGAGAGGACATTCTAGGCATTCGGATGAGAGACTATCGTGTCATTTATTCTTTCAGCTGCCTCATGACCCACTGGTTAAATTCTTCTTTAGAGCTGAACATACTTTAATTCTGTCCCAGCAATTCCACTACTGGTGGATCCCAAACAGAAATATAAGGATAAGGTCACCAAAATAAAATTTATAGCAGCTTTGTTTATAATAGCGCCAAACTGGAAACAAGCCACGTGCTCATCAACAGGGGAGGGGATAAATGCATAGTGGAGACTTTGCCCAGGGGACACCACACAGCAACAAGCAAGAATGACCTCAACATACCCAAGTGCATGCAGGAATCTCACAAACGTTATGCTGAGCAAAAGAATTGGATGCAGAAGAGCAGACACCATGTGATTGTATTTATAGAAAATTCAAGAACAGGCAAAACCAACTTAGGGGATTAGAAGTCAGGATGGTGCTCCCCCCTAGTGGGAGGGTATATAGTTAGAAGTGGAATCGCTAAGCTGATTTTTAAAAAAGAGATGGAAATCTACTTTTTCACGTGAAATCTTCACCAGATTTTTTTTCTCTTTAACCCAGTTCTTGCTCTGAACTTTAGACCACTGTCTAAGGAACCTCGCTCAGAAAAGACAAGATTTGTCTCACTTCCCGTCTCTCTCTTCTGCTGCAGCAGAAGCTGCGGTTCCATTTGTGCCTCCTCTCCTGGGTACCTTTGAAATCTTAACCAACAGACAGAAACCTATTTCTTTTTTCTTTTTTCCCTTCTCCTCCTTTCCCTTCCTAGTAACCTATTTCTTGAAGTGAGGACCTTGACCTCTCTGCCCCCCTCCCACAATGGTTGTGTCAATAGGTCTGTTAATAAAGGAGTGAGATTTAGATTCTTTGGAGGAAATAAAGGTGCAAGATTGGAAACCCTTGGAATTTTTCTTTGGGACAGGGTGGTCTATGCCACATATGAACACGAGCAGAGTTCTTAGGAGGCTGAGAGGAAACTGGAAGCACTCAGGGGTGGTTGAAGGGTTGCAGAATAGAGGACAAGAACTGGGGATCTTTAGGAAAAGAGGGAATGATCTGAAGCACTGTGGGTCATAGAGGGATGGGGTAGGAGCTTGCTAGGTTGGAGAGGTCACTGGGATGGTAGACGGGGACAATTGTGGGAGGGAGGGTACAAAGGATGGAGGTAAGGGCAGGACTGAGACTGGTGTCTGGGTGAACTTGGCTTCTATCACTTCCTTGAGCAGGTGTGACTTTGTGCATGTTGTGTCTTCATGGCCTGTGGCCTGTTCTGTGAAATGGGTACAAGCACCCCTCTCCCAGGGCCTTGGCAAGGATTCAGGGGGACTGTAGACTGGCAGGCCCAGGTTACAAGGCTTCTTGAATATCAGTGGCAACTGGGCAGGTGGACTGGGGGCCCAGGAGTGGAGAATGGGGCTCTCCGAGACCAAGGGAAGATTCTAGAAGTGCCTGGGGGGGGGGAATGCCAGATATGGGGGACTCCCCAGGGTGCAAGGATGACACAAACTGCCCTCCTGCTATAACCTTTCCCTGCAGCTAGATGCACTGCCTGGCCCTGCCATCAGCCACGGGACTGACCAAACAGCAGTCAAGGACACTTCATGGTCCTTGATTGCATCCTGGTCCTTTGAATTGCATCTGGGCATTAGATGAGAAGACCATTTATTGAAATGTAAAGGTAGAGGGCAGGCCCGGTCGCTTGGGAGTGTGGCGGTGCTCCCGCCGAGGGTTCGGATCCCATGTGGAGACCAGTTCCCGCTCACTGGCTGAGCACGGTGCGGGCGCAACACCGAGGGTTGCAATCCCGTTGCCCGTCCCCGGTACGGGTGCAACACTGAGGGTTGCGATCCCGTTACCAGTCAGTAAAAAAAGACAAAAAGGAAAAAAAAAAAAAAAAAGAAATGTAAAGGTAGAGACTGTATGTGCACTGACCTCGCTTTGGTTGAAAATTTCATGTGTGCTCTCACAAAGACCACAAAGGACAGGACCTGGGTATTGCTCCCGGAGGATGGAATGGTAAGCCTTTATTTCTTAAATCTTTGATTGACTGTACGTTGCACACTGCCCAGGGACTGCTTTGTGAATAAAAGGTTATTAAAACAGTTTTCAGGGCTGCCCCTGCATTCCCAGTCTTCTGAACACCACCAGGCCAGATTCCCACTCTCCCCCTCCCCCACCCTCTCCCCTTCGCTCTCTGCTCTTCAAATCAGCAAAGTTCTTTGCTGCCTCTGGGTCTTTGCACTTGCGGTTTCCTCTTCCTTTTCACCCTCCAGCAGCCAAATGTGGGGGAAGGGGTGTTCCTGACCATGTTTTCTAGGCTGGGAGGCCGTGGCTCTCTCTCACAGCACCCTATTTCCTCTGTGTGTCTTATCACCACCCTCCAGCAGCCAAATGTGGGGGAAGGGGTGTTCCTGACCATGTTTTCTAGGCTGGGAGCCCGTGGCTCTCTCTCACAGCACCCTATTTCCTCTGTGTGTCTTATCATGCTTTACTGCATAAAGACACGTGTTCCTCCTGGACATCTCCTGTGCTTTAAACTTTGCATCACTCGGGGAAACTTAAAAAAGGTCTCCAGGCAATTTCCATTCAGCCTATTAAGGTGGCGCCTTCGTATGGTCGAGGCTCAGACTTTGACTTTGGCTACTCTTAACCGATTTTAATGCTATGCCTTGTCTTAGCGTGAGACCACATTCAACATTCCTAGCCCACTCTTTCAAACTCGAGTCCTTCCAGCGTGCATGCCGTCTGAGCGGCTTCCTTGCCTACCACGTCTGGGGGCAAATGAAGGCACCACACGTCCACGCACACCCAAGCCGGTTTATTTGGTCTCCCCCGCGCACTCAAGCCTGCATCACGGGCCGCGACTTCTCCGCCTGCAGCTTCACTCCGGAGCCCGCGAAGCCGGTGCCGCCCTGGGGAAAGAGGGGAGAAGAGCGAGGTCGAGGCAGGGCTGGGGCTGAAGGCAGGGTTCCAGGTGGCGGTTGGGATCCGAACAGGGTCAAAGAGAAGTGGAACGCAGGGTAAAAGGAGGGTGGGGAGTAGAACCCTGGGGTGAAGGAGCCAGGCCCGGAGAGGAAGCGAGGGGAGGAGGGGCGGGGCCTAACGAGAAGGGGCGGGGCCTAACGAGAAGGGGCGGAGTCCAGGGGTAGAAAGCGATTGCGTGGGAAGGTGAGTGGGCGGGGCCTTGTGGAGCCGGGGAGGGGCAGAGAGAACCGGAGAGAAGTGGAGAGGACGCGGCGGGCAGCTCACCCGCTGCAGCACGATGATGTCGCGGTCTGTGAGCTTGTCTCCAGTTACTGGGTCCACCATGTCCTTCCGAATCAGCTTCTCCACGCACTCGAGGGTGACCACGGCCCCACTGCGGTGAGGGACTCCGATCAGAGGCTGCCCAGGAAAGCCACTCCCCCCATGCCTATTCCTGTCCCGCAGGTCCCCCTGTGGACCCTTCCCTCCCTCCCCAGGTGACTCACGAAGGCCGCAGCACAGCGCAAGGCGTGGCGTTGCTCAGGCTGTCGCGGGTCACTGCGCACACGTAGCGCTCGCTGCGCGTGATGAGCCCCACGCGGTCCACCGAGCCGTCGAGCGGCGTGAAGCGCACAGGCGTCAGGTCTGACATGCGCAGCGGCTTCCCCGACATGGGGCAGGTCACCGTGCGCGACTGTGTAGAGGAGAGCCACAGGCTCAGCAGGCAGGGCTGGTGCCAGGTGGACGGAGGGTGGAGTCCCTGTGAGGGAGGAGAGGGGGACCCTTGGGATACTGGGGGACCCTGGCCCTCTCTGGCAAAGTGGGTGCAGTGCAGCTGAGGGGGCTCACCGGCTTCTCCAGCTTGGTGGCCTTGGCCTCGGGAGTCAGCGATGGGATCCAGAAGCTGGGCAGCACTTTGTCCTTGCTTGGGGGACACCCGCTGGGCCCAGGTTGGGCATCATCTGTCGGGTTAGAGAGGGGCTCGGATACTGGGCCCTGAAAAGCACCCAGCCTCGGATCTTGCACCCACCCACAAGTTCGCTCCCTGTCACCTGGGCTGGTCCCCAAGGGAGCCTTGGACATGAAAGGGTTGAGGGGTCGGCTCACGATGGCCGCCTCCTTCTCCAGGAAGCCCCGCACTTGGTCCTGCGCTGCTGCCCGCTGCAGCTCTTTCTGCTCCTCTCGCTGGGCGCCCCGCTGTTTCTCGTAGGCCTGGGGGGCAGGCAGGGAAAGTGAGCAAAGCATGTCCTGTGCGTTGTGAGTCTGGACCACCCTCAGGGAGGCTGGGGGTTGGTTCTTCCCATTTCACAGCTGGATAAACTGAGGCCCACACAGGGTCCCTCTGACAAAGGCACTGTTTGGCTGGGGTTGGTGACTGCCTGGGCATGAACCGTTAACTGGCTGTACAGCATTCCATGGAGAAAGAGACTCGACATCCAGGGAATGAGGAGCTCATGTCTATGCAGCGGTGTGATGTGCTGGGCAGTGTGTGAGGATGAGGGGAGTTAAAGCCATCCTGGCTCAGCCCTGCCCTCACAAGGCACATGCCGGGAGGTGCTGCAGCTCTTGACACCGCCCTGGGGCCACCCAGCTGGCTGAGGTAACAATGATAGTGACCGATGCCCAGAAGGGCCTCCACATGGTCACCATGAGGAGCAGCAACTGGATAGGCACCAGACCATGCGGAGGACACAGGCATAGCCACTCACTTGAGAAAAAAGCTGAACAACAATCTGACCCTCAGTGTTTCGTGAGCTTCAGGAAACCAGGCAGGAGAAGGAAGGAAATAGACCCACTGTGCCTCAAACAAGGGGATAAACAGGGTTCCCCATGCACCAAATTGGATTTGCCCATGGAAGGCCAGGCCTGGCTCTGAAAAAATGTCTGGAAGATTCTTATCTGTGTGCACTTCTCATGTGCCCTGCAGTATCCTCTAATTCAGCCCTGTCTGCTCATTTTACAGATAATGAAACCAAAGCCCAGTGAGATGAGGTGATATCCACTCATATGGCGAGTCTTTACCAAGGACCTAGGACCACTGGGTGGGCAAGACTTGTTCCCCGCTCCCAGGGCCTGCAGCCTAATGGGGAGAGTGGGCCCCTGTCAGACAGCTGCATGTACAGTTACAACTCTGCCAACTGCCAAGGGAAGAGGCGACTAGGGCAGACCTTTGGGGCCCTGGGTTAGCAGGTCAGAGGCAGTGCCTTGGCTGAAATCTGGAGTGTGAGAAGGATCTAGCAAGAAGTGGGAGAAAAATGGTGTGCCGGGCAGAAGGAACAGCACAGATAAAATCCCACAAAGGAAAAGGAAGAAATGAGATCAGAGGGCCCAGGGTGGTTCTGCCTGTGAGCTCAGAATCAAAACTGCCTGCCCAGCTGTGCCCACTTCTCCTTATCCCCATCACCTTCATCTGCCGGGCAATCTCCTTCTTCTGGTGCAGAATGTACTCCAGGATCGCCTCACGCTCATACAGGTAGCCATCTGGGCTGCACAGAGAGGGTGCAGTGAGAAAAACATGGACCTGGCCCAGGCCACACAGCCAGGGGTTAATAATCACATGCCAAACATCAGCTCCCCGCCCTGGGTGCCCACTAAGCATCTGACAGGCAGCATCTCACTCAGTGCTCAGCTCAGCTCTCTGACGTGAATTCTTGTGCCAGGACCACACTGCTTTAATCCTTGTGGCTTTGTAGAATGCTGTGTTGTGTAGGGAAAGTCTTGTGCAGTTAACTTAGCAGGCCTGGGATGACCAAACCCTGCACTTTCCAAAGAAAAGACTGGCCCTTGACTGGCTCCTGGGAGGGAAACTCTAAGCCTCTGGAATGTCCTGCCTGGTAAGACTGTCTTTGTTTACCTGGGGCCTTGGGCATGCATAACAGCTTGACCTCTGGAGGAGCTGGAAACTAAGGTCAGCCACATGCACAGTCAGCCAGGCCTACATGACTGAACCCTGATAAAAACCCTGGACACCACTAGGGCCAGCCCGTGGCTCACTCGGGAGAGTGCGGTGCTGATAACACCAAGGCCACGGGTTCGGATCCCATATAGGGATGGCCGGTTCGCTCACCTGTGAGAGCCTGGTGCTGACAACACCAAGTCAAGGGTTAAGATCCCCTTGCCGGTCATCCTTTCAAAAAATAAATAAATAAAATAAAACCCTGGACACCAAGGCTTGGGTGAGCTTCCCTGGTTGGCAATACTCCATGTGTGTTGTCACACATCATGGCTGGGAGAACTAAGTGCTGTTCATGCGACTCCACTGGAAGAGGACAGCTGGAAACTTGTGCCCTGGACTCTGCCCTATGTGCCTTTTTCCTTTGCTGATTTTAATCTGTATCCGTTCATTGTAATAAATTGTTACCATGAATATAACAGTGTTGCTGAATTCTGTAAGTTTTTCTAGCAAACAGTTGAACCTGAAGGTGGCCTTGGGGACCGTCAACGACAGTCTACTCTCACTACTATCTCATAAAATATACCAGTAATTGAGCACATATTTAGTCATTGGACTAAGCACCTTATACCTGTTATCCTGCTGGAGCCTTTGCCCTACCATCAGAGGCAGGTAATGGCAAGTTCTCCACGATGTGAACTGTTACTATGGTCCAGGCAATGTTCCAAGAGCCCCATACCCTATTACAAATGTATTCTTTTCCATGTGCAATCAAACAGATACTTGGATCATGCCCATGTTTCAGACAAGAACACCGAGGCTCTGAGAGGTTAAATGGCTCACCCTGGGCACCCTGGCTATGTAGGTGGCCCGCTCTGTGCAGTTCCCTTGCCCTCCCTACCCTAACCCTGCAACCCTGGTTCCCAGCTCACGTGATGACAGGATCATGGCAGGGCTGCAGAGAGAGGCAGCAGCAGTCAAAGTCCTTTACGGCATCCCGGCTCAGTCGAATGTTCTGGGTTCCATAGCCTGAGGCCGCTGGGGACACAGATGGGCAGAGTGATGGAGGGGCAGAGGGACAGGAGATGTGCCTCTCTACAAAGTCCAAGAGAGAGGCACAAAGAGAACTCAGGGGTGAAGGTGGGGGTGGGAAGACTCAGAGAGAAACAGGCAGTCAAGAGCTGTATGTCTATGTGTTTCAGCAGGGGCTACACAAGCCACAGGAAGGCGTTAATCTCCAGAAGGTAAGTGACAGGCCCTGTCACTGAGTGGCAGCTTGGTGGAGTTGCTGCCAGCTGACTCCCCTTGGCTTTTCTGGCTGTGTCCAAGCTCGAGTATCTGCACCTCTTTGGGCCTCAGTTTCTTCCTCTGGAACATGGTGAAAACAGCAGTGATACCTCGCTGTCACCATGCTAGGAGGTTTAAATGAGTTATGTACAGAAAGCACATAAGGAAGTACCTGCCAGTGGGGGGAACTGGAACGTGGGCTGTTACTAGTATACGGTCATGGACATCAGTGTGGATGGGGGGGTGGGGACAGGGACACACAGAAAGCAAAACCAGAGGCGTAAAGTGAGATTGTGACTTCAGGACACATTTGTGCCTGTACCTGTGTCCTTCTTCTTCTCGTGGTAGGTGTAGACAGCACCTGCGGTGCAGTTCTTGCCATGCCTCGTCATCCTAGGGAGGAAAGGACAGTTGCAGGGCTGTGGTGACTGGAAGCAGCTGGTACAGGGAAGAACTTTATGCCCCTCAGAGCTGATCTGAACCCTCAGATGGGAAAGCTGGGGTCAGGGGAAGGGTGAGAGTGAGAGGAGAAACCAGTGGCACGGGGTCACTAGGCCTCCTCCAGGAAGTCTCCCTTCCAGACTGACCTAAACTCATTTATATACCAAAAAGCAACCTTTAGCAACAAAAGAACTGCTTGTTTGGAGGTTGGGAGGGGTGACCGGGTTCAAATCCCGGCTACTACTTCAGACTAGCTAACTGGGTTGGCTGTGCCATTTAATGAAAAATTAAAAAAGAGGAAGGGCAGACCCCCCACCCCCAGGCTGGGGCCCATTAAAAATAAAAACAAGGGCCGGCCCCGTGGCGCACTCGGGAGAGCACAGCGCTTGGGTGCACAGCGGCGCTCTCGCCGCGGGTTCGGATCCTATATAGGGATGGCTGGTGCGGACGACACCAAGCCAAGGGTTGCGATCCCCTTACCGGTCACAAAAAGACAAAATAAATAAATAAATAAATAAAATAAAAAATAAAAACGAAACTTTTTATTCTGGAACTTTTCAAACACATACGAAGTAAACAAGAACCCCCACATACCCACCACCCAGGTCCAAGGACTGTCAACACTGTGCCATTGTGCTTTGATCATCAGCCCCGACAACTGGGTATATAACCCACGCCCCCACTCCCACTTTGTAAATGGATTTATTGAGATATAATTCACATACCATAAAACTCATCCTTTTAAAGTTTACAATTCAGTGGCTTTTAGTGTATATAGAGGTGTACTGCCTCTATCTATACTTTTTTTTTTTTTTTTTTTTTTTTTTT